GGGCCGATTAGCTTCTCCCTCACTGGCTTTTTAGTTAGCGCGAAGTTAGGACTAATTATCGGGATAGCATGGAAGAGCCGAAATCTCTAACCGKAATGTAARTMGATTCGACGCCTCAGCTTCACAGAATGTCTCGGGGGAATCGTCCCAACCTTTTTCGAATCTTTTTGTCATGGGTTCGAGTCCTAAGACGGTCGTGTTCTTTTTTTTTGTGTATTTTCTTTCTCCTTGTTTTAATTACTCTTCTTTTTTACTCATATCTGTTATGTTTCTGCTCGAGTCTTCTACTTTATCTTAAAAAAGATAAAACAAAAAAAAGAATGTTGATAAAAGAGGTTTCTGTCTTATTATCTTTGCTTAGGAATTAAGGAAAACTGTCATCACCCACTTAAAGGCGTCTGCCCGTAATTATAGCTCTATTTCATTCTCATTTCTTGTTCTTTATTATAGTTTGTTCCAAGCCAGCAGATGTTGGGATCGTACTCGACGCCTCTGGAAGCATTGGAAAGAAAAGATGGAAGCAAGTCGTACGGTTCACGCAGACTTTAGTTAATGCCTTTAACGTGTCCGACAAGGGCTCTCATGTTGCTGTTCTCCTGTATGCAACAAAGACTAAAATCGAAGTTGGTTTTAATACATTTTCGGGAGATGATTGGACGCCAGACAACATCAATCAGCGAATAGCCGCTGTCAATTATAATGACTGGAAAGGATTGACGTACATTGACCGAGGTCTCAAGAAAGCAAACGAGGAGCTTTTTACTTACGAGAATGGAATGAGAAGAGATAAAAAAATAGAGAAGGTAGGAATAGGATAATAGATAAAGGTAATTATGGCCCGGGGGGACTCCCTAATAAGAAAGGGCGTGGGTCCTCGTCGGAAATTCTGAAAATGACCCCTAAAAGGGACTTGTATTGTGAGATGATGGGCGTGGCAGCGCTGAAATTTCACCCCGAAGAGGGACCAATCAACAGGTCATTTTATTTTGTTTCCCGATTTTATTTGTGTTTTTCCACAAGCATCAAACGCCGTCGCCTCGTTTGAGATCAATCATCTAATTAGCAGTTACAACTACCACAAGCTAATTTTGGATATTCACGGACGTTAAAAATAATTGCACTTGCAATTTCTTATTTTTAATCATTCTGAAGTAGCTTTCAATAAATAAATCAAAGTCGCTTCTGAATTTGAGTTCTTACTTTATTTTATTTAGATTTTGATTCTGTTCACGGATGGCAAACAAACTAAGAATAGGGACCCTTACACAGAACTCAAGGACGCAGCCCGACCACTCAAAGATAAAGGAATAGACATTTATGCACTAGCTGTTGGCACTCCAGAAAAGATCGATGTACCAGAGTTACGAGGCATGGCAAGCAAAGCTGAAAACGTATATACCGCGAAGACGTTTGACGAACTCGAACCTCTCGCTATACGAATAACACAGGCAACTTGCGGTAAGTTTAGAATCTGTTGTATTTACTTAGCCAGCAGCAACACTGCTTGTAGTGAAACTAAACACAGACGATGGTAGCTTTATGCTCTATCAATGCACTTTTTTTTTCAAGGAGTTGTTAAAAAAAGGTACCAGATAACTCCTTTTCAATGGAGTAGATTTAACTCCACCAATTTCAACTGCACCTGTGAGAGTGAGAGTAGAATTCTCGGAATCTTCTAAGAGCAAAAACCCTTTTTGGAGTAATCCTGACTCTCTTAATAAAAACTCCTCCCATTAGTTTAATTAGTTTAACCATTTAACTCTCTTTAAAGCGAGAATACGGCTTTATTTCAACTCGTTGGAAATTAGTGTGTGAAAGGCGATTATTCAAGAAAGTCCTCATATGTTGAGCTAAAAGCTGCAATGTTTTAATGATACTGATTTTCCAAAGTAACATCGGGTTCAAAACGCCATTATTACTACTATTAGTTATTTAGTACTAAAGATTCGAATATCGTGTTTTTTTTTCTGCAGATATCCAGCTTAGATCGGTAAGTATAGACTGATAAATAATTGAAACGATATTCTTTGTGAATGTGCATTTTGTTATACGTTTTGTCAGCCTGTGGAAGAAGATTCCATCCTAATGGTTGAAAATACTTTCATCCATTTGTAAAGAATTGTAAAGATATAACGTGGTGGAAAATACCCGATGATATCGAATTATGATTTATTGCTTTTATTAATCATATTTATGTATACCCACCACTTATTTATAATTATATATTTGCCATGGTATGGAATTGATGACAGATTGCTTATGAATTGCACTAGGAAAGAAATGGTGAGCTTTGAACTCTGTAAATTTGACGTAAATATCATGTAAACTTTCTTTTCAAGACATTTACAGGATAATTACATGAATTTTGCAGGGTTGAAAGCGCGCTTTTTTGTTTGTTTGTTTGTTTGTTTGTTTKTTTTTTTTTTTTTCTCATTTAATTTAACGTTTGATTTACCGACTTTGCAGGATTTTCTCTGAGCTCTTCCCAATGCCAACCTCTATCTTTTCTCTCTATTCAATTCCTCGTCTTTTTCCCCTATTTTTTCTTAATCTTTCCCGATCTTGTGTACATAGACATGCATTTTAGTTGTTAAAAGTTTTAATTCGCCATGCATTGTATTCCTTGTTATTCATTTGCTTTTAATTGCAATACTTGTGCACTCAATGAGGTGCGATTAAATGGGATGAGATGGGAAGTGAAATAGAATGATATGTGATATGATAAAACTAGGGATATGATGATATGATGTAATGAGTTCATCTGATATGATGTGATATGCTATGTCGTTGCGATGCACCAGCCTGGAATGTGATGTGATGGTATTCTTTGAGAAGCGAATATCTCCGGATGCGACGTTCAGGGGAGTCGATTCAAGTCTCAAGTTCTCAAGGAAGCCGATGAGATATGCTGCACTATATGTTGCCTGTATGAAATATACATTGACTTAAAATTTACCACTTGAATAAAGGTCAATATATCAAATTTAAAAAGTATTTATTTTCCTGCAAAACCGCAATCAATGCTTTTTTAACAACCAGTCACATAATTCTTAATCTCTCGTTGTCTTCTGCTTGAATTTAACAGACATATCCACATTCGTATTCGATTTTTTATACCGCAGTAAGTGACAGAAACACTGCAAACCTCTGAGGGCTCAGATGCACTCGCGTACCAATAGTAACTGAGTATTGTTCTTGAGTGTTTTTGAATTGCTGTGTGACTCTTTAAAGACGCAATTTTAAGTCCTAATTGCTTATGTCTTCAAGTTGTGATTATATGAGACTCAATTCTCATTCAATTCTCGATATATTCAGAATTCCTTCATAAGGTCAGACACACGTAATAGTTTAGGGAACTGTGTCTGGGGCACAAGACTGATTGAAATGAGTACGGGGCGTGTCTTTTACCTACAATTACTGTTGCGTTTGTAGCCCCAAGGGAAACTCGCGAAAACGGACGATAGATTCTTTAATTCAAAACGGATAGCTTACACACGACAAAAAAATCAGCTCTTTAAGTTAGGCCCAACCCACATGTAGTTTGCTGCCGCAAATTTTGTTTATGAGCATAATAGTTTCATCACATGTGAAATTCGACGTATGTGAGACCTGACTTTAGATCTGGCATTTTTAGAGCAAAAGAGCCACTGAGTGAATAATGATGATAAAATGATTAACGACTAGGATAAATTGAAATCTATTTGTAGCTCTATAAACTAAAAATTGAAATCTTCTTTAATTGCAACTTTTGCCGATAGAACAGAGAGCCCGCGGTATCAATCAGGCCAACAAACTGCCACCTTAAAAATGTACCGATTTCAATTAAGGTATTCAAGGTGATTATAAGAAAATACCTCATCTATCATGTGGGTGTAGAAATTATGAAGATCTCCTGCCCTTTTATCAGTGCTGAAAATATTAACAAAGTATTACGAATATATGTATATTCCAGTGCACTAGTTTGGATATTGTCAAGATGGGATTCTTGAAGACCAGCTGATCGAAAGGTGACTCAAGTTTATTTCAAACCTCTTAAAACCTTTGATTTAAAGCAATAAATCAAATGTCTTATTRCCCATTCCGATATTGTCCTACTTAAATCTACGAGTAGAGCAACGAGTGTAACAGATACCTTTGAAATGTATCATCAAGCCAAAGACTCCCAGAAATCATACATCTATGAAACGCATACGCAGAGGCCGCGAGCAAATACCGCTGAAAAATAACAACATCAATCACCCGTGCGCATCAATCACCCGTACTCCCATGATCGTCTGGAAAGATACCTAAGCATGGTCCAAAACAGTTAAAATGGTTTGCGCTAAAAGAACAACACGTCAATTAACCTTTTGTACGATGCTGCTTTTTCTTAAGAAAAGAGAAAAAAAAACAACGAAAAGTAAGTATATTTGCTTTCATCACTAAACAAAAACAAAAAAAATCTGATGACTTAATGTATCCCGGCGGTAAATTCTAATAAAGATTGTATTTGATTTGTTTAACCGCATCTTCAGTCGCGACTTAACACGTGGCCGCTTAAACAAATGAAAACTTGCTAATCAATCTTTGACAGGGATTATTTATACCAGATTTAGGCAGTTTTATTTGACAGTCGGGACGGTCTTCAACCAATTAGCCATAGAGGACGAAGCCAGAGTGCGCGCCCACGGTAAAGTAATTAAAACTGGATGAATAAAATGAATCCGGCAATATCAGTATTTTACTTCATTATGTAACTGATGATAAAAATTATGAATTCCTATTATTGCTTTTCAATGTGAAATACATTGTGGCGTACTGCGTACTGCCAGTCATGTAACTTCACCGACGGTCAAAGGCGGAGCCATCAACGCGATTATTCGGTATCTTTAATTTCTAATAATAACGTTTTAATTTTTTTCCAAATGTTTTTTTTCTTTTCATATGACGTTTATTTTTTGCAATTACACTGTATTCATTTACAATTAATAAAAACATATCGCCTCTTATGTTTGTTGAACGTTTTTGAGAAAACAAACATGTCTTATGTTTTTGTCAGAAAGCTAGATTTATTACTTCGTCTTTCGGTTTTATTTGGAAGCCAGAATACTGTGTCAAATATAATTGGACCGGCTAAGTAAAGAGCTTGTAATAGGTTATTAGAGAGAGGATGCATAAAAAGGCAGCGAATATTCGAATCTTAGTCAGTTTCAGTGCTAAACGTTCGTCCACAGAGCTGCATCAAGCATGTCGTCTTCTTCTTGCATGTTCTCTTTCCTGTTGCTGGTCTTGTTTATGGACTTCGTTGGAACTGTGTCGTCGGTATGTCTGATACTATACAATCATTTTATTTACAGKTATTTCTTAAAACGTTGAATAATGAAGATACTAGTATTTTTCAAGACGGAAATACATTATTGGACTTTCTATTGCCATTGAAAATGAGTTTTTGTTGACCATTCCAGCTCCGTACAGTCAGAAACTTCAATGGAAAGCAAAAAAAMGTTTTTAATTTTAACTTCCAAACATAGCTAACGTTAAGTTTGATTACGCATTGCGGTCTTGAAATGCACTATCCAATATACCATGTAGAGTTCAAGTTAACGTCTCGAATTCAACTCCTTGATATAATTTTCATCTTTCTAAATACATAACTAATATGCATTTTACGACACATTGATTTAGATAACAGAATTTCATAATTTAGTAATGTTTTCATGTTTTCAAATATCAAACTGTAAAGATGACCAATGATAGTTGTAATTTGTTTCAAGGACTACACTTTTCCAGGCAAGGACCTCACTGGCGAAAATRGTAAGTTCGYTTMACTTGTTATGTGATTATCGTTGCGTTAAGATAATCTTTAGTTTAGGCAGCTAAAGCTCTGCTCTGCTCTGCTCTGCTCTGCTCTGCTCTGCTCTGCTCTGCTCTGCTCTGCTCTGCTCTGCTCTGCTCTGCTCTGCTCTGCTCTGCTCTGCTCTGCTCAGGTATCAGTTTTGATGAGGTAGATATACTTACAACAATAAGAGAACAATTTCTTTAAC